TGTCTGACCCGACCTGACCTTATCAGGTCGGGTCAAGTCAATTACCCGACCCGACCCGACCTGTTCGGAGCTCTATACATGTACATATATAGAAATATATTAATATATAATAATATAAATTAAAAAAATTATTATATATTTAAAGGTTTTTTAAATTTAAAAATCTATAAATAAGTAATTAATAATAAGTATACTGATCCTATAATAATTTATATTTTTATTTTAATTAAATATATAAGATCTTTGCAATAGAAAGAAATGAAATTATTAGAAAAAAACCAATTTTATTTTATATGATTTTTTAGATTAAAATAGGTTCATTAATATTTAGCAATAATTTATTTATTTTTCTACAGTTTCTTCCCTTTCTATTGCAAATATCCTATATATAATTTAAGTAATAAAAAATAAAATAATTAAATTTAATAAAGATTTTATTATTTTTATCAAAAAATATTAAATTATATTATAAAGCTATAAAAATTTGATATTTATATTCTTACTTAATAATAATATAAAGATAAAAGAGGGATTTGATAAGATATATAAAGTATTAAGTAATATTTTAAAAAAGAATTTTATACTAAAACAATTTCTAATTTAAGAAATTCAAAAAAGAAGTTCTTATAACATAAAAATTACCATTTTTGGACGGTTTGTTGATCCGATAACTCCCCCTTAGATATACGTTTATAGATACGCGTCTATAAAATTCGTGTTTGTAAATAGAAATGTCAGCTAGAAACTCCCAGAATTCTTTAGAAGGCAATACAAATTTGTCATTTAATGAAAAAAGAGAATATGATAGCTTATATCGAGACGGTGATGAATTATCACAATTTATTTTAAAAGGAATAAACTATGCAGCAGACTCTGCAATTGACCTCGAGCAAGCGGACGAAGAAGAAGAGGTTTTGTAATTTGTTTTTGTTATTTTTATTTTAAAGGATTCCTTTACAAATAATAATTGGATCGTAACAGGTACAAAAATTGGATGAAACTGTACGAAATATGATTGATATTGAAAAGAAACTCTCTTTGCGAAAAGATGTATTGGAAAGAATTCAAGTTAGAGTAAATGCAGGACGCAAATTTGTAAATATCAATTTATTATCGTAAACCATAATTTTTATTTTTATATTATTAAATGAATTTTATGATCTTATCAATATTAGGAAGATGTGGTGATTATTTATGAACAAGAATGTGAAAAGGCATTTAGAGATTATTCACAAGTTTCAGAAGAAGATAAATATTTAAAGAACGAGAATTATAATGATTTTCGACAAAAAATTTGGGTGAGCATAAGAAAAAATATAGCTATCACCTTTTTTGACATCTTTATAATTATTTTCTTTGTTTAATAATAGGAAGTCAAACATGAAAATGAACCAATGCCACCTTTTAATCAAAATGAAGATGATGACCTTGTGGTTGGACCTCAGAAAGAATCTTTACATTGTCCAATCACGACTTTACTGTTGGAAAATCCGGTAACAAGGTGATGATTTAAAATTTTTTTAAATCATTTGTTTTCACCAAATTTTATTTACACATTTCGTTTTTAATTGATTTTAGTGACTTGTGCAAGCATACGTTCTCAAAAGATGCTATCATGCAGTTAATGAGTCGTAACGGCAATGTTATACCATGTCCAATTCCGGGTTGTGATAAACAAATTATGGAACATAACCTCAAAGAGAATAAACGTTTGGTGCGAAAAGTTGTTGAACACGTTAAAATGATGGAAAATGAGATGGACGATATTGAGGTAAAAGAGATAATGATGATAAAACTTATCATTTAATTATTAATTTACTAATGTTTAATATTTAATTTTTCTTTTAAAGTATACAAATATTGATGATTAATTTTTCAGCCAGATATTTTTCTCTTTAATTTGACCATAAATATAATAAATAGTCTTTATCTGCATGCTTTTGTCAACGGATTACGTCTTTGCTTTGTTTTCTACAACTGCTTCTTTATTTGAAACGATATTTGAGTTATTCTCAGATTGAACTTTAGAAAGGTTATGGGCTCGATTTGTCTCTCTATAAAAAAAATTAAAAATTGGTAAAAAAAAAAATTATTTTCATGTTTATTTTTATAAATTACCGTTTCAATTCCTCGAGTGCAGGAACAAAGGTGTAAAGGCCTATTCCGATTCCAAGTATAGCACCTATTAATACTGATTGATTTCTAATAAAAAAGCTATTCATCTTTTTTATTATAAATATTTTTTAAAATGAAAGAATTTTTTTAAAAAAAAAAAAATACAGTATATACATACAGTATATATATATACAGCATTGTTACATTTTTTAAAATCACGTTTATTCAACAACCGTTACACCAATTAAAGGCAGTATATTTTATTTAAAAAAAAAAAATTTGTCACCAAATTTCTCAAAATGCCGTATTAGTTAGAAGATTATTTGATTTTTTGGCCTATCAAAACCACCTCATGCGAATATTTTTACTTCGATCCTTTGGTATTAACAAATTGGCCTTCAGCCAGGTGTCTCGAAACTTGTTGAGTGGGATACATTTACTCAAATAATTTCAATTTAACAGGGTTGTATACTGCGGAATGCAGTTGGTGTTAATTTTTTACGCCCCCCATTATTTTTACGTTTAGTTTCGTTAGTTAGATGATAATCTTCATCAAATAGTGAATTTAAGCATTCCCTGTAAATTGTTTGCCGTTAGTTATGAGGTAATCTTAATACTAAAAATTTTAAAGTTTCGCTTGGAAGTGATAGTGCTTTTTACCGTAATTAGGAGAGATTTACAGGCCAGTGGGGTCACTTGGAATGTTTATTCCAAGAACATGCTATTAATCGTTTCAAAAATACCAACTCACTTTTAAAAACATTCTCATTTGCTCAAGTAATATACCAAAATTCTTTTCAAAAATTCCTTTGTAAAAGAAAATGATATAGCATGGACTGGAAAAGAAGATATTAAAACAAGATAAAGTAAAAGTTTTGGAAAATCAAGAATATTAAATGGTGGATTGATCTAATTATTAAAATTATTTATCGTAATTAATTATCGAAAAAGTAATAAATTAATACTTTAAAAATTTCAAACACTTTATTATTCCGACCTGTATTATATGGAAACGCGTTTGAAAAATAAATTTCAAAATTTTATCTTTTTAGGGTTTATAATGTATACAATCAAACTGAAGTTATTTCGATTCTCTGTGATATTAAGATTGGATCAGAAATTCTGACCTTCGGAACATTCAAATATTGCATTTTTGCAAAAAAAGACGCCTCTGGGATATTTAATTATTGCTTATCTGATTTGCGACCAAAATTGAGTTTGGCCGAGGCCATATGACGTAAATGTTCCATGTTCAAACTTTCTCGATCCGCTATGAAAATATACCAAACTTTAAATTTTCTATTCAAGTTGCTGGTATGTGATATTATAATGCTTTTTTTTCACTAGAAAATAACCTTTTCTGCTTTAGGTGGAACTGATTTATTCAGCGTCTAGCTTTCAGAAGATAAATAGAATAAATACTATAATTCAATAAATTCGTTTATCTACTTTTCTTATGTGATGAAAAAGATGTTCGATTAAAATATTGTGCAATTCAATTGATAACCTTAATGTACCAATATAAAAATGAAACCTTGGAGAGCCTTACATCATATTGATTTTCGCAGAATCATTTATACAAAAACATTAATTAGACGAACTTGATGCTTCTTCAAAATCGGCAAGGTTAGAAACACCTATTAAATTTCATGTATCCAATGAAATTTTCTTTGTCTATAATATTATTATATGTTAGTATTTCACCTTCCTCTTTTGCAAATTCAATACTTGCGTCTGATATAGCAATAGCATCAATAATAGGAACAAATTTTCCTTGAATGAGACCTGTAGATTTCCTACTTTAAAGACATCAATGTTATCAAACATTTCATATGTACAATAGCCATTTATGCATGAAGTTTTTGAAGTACTCTGAAGCGATTGAAAATTTATTTGAACATAACATACGCTTTTTGTTCATGAAATACAAAATGTAGCATCAACACCAAAGTTCTTTTAAAATGCTTTAGAGAAGAACTGGCTTCACTTGTCATGCTTATAACAAACTAGGGCTAAATTCTGTCTGTAATAGTCATTTTTTTATACACATCTTCTATGAATATTTTGTTCATTTTATATTAATCTGTTATATCATCAATCAATAATTTCTGTTCATCTAGATTTTCATGTAACATTCGTTCCAGAACTCGATTTACTAAACCTACATACATGTTCGCATAAGAGGATGCCTATTTGTTTTGAACTTTTAACTTGCACAACAGCACTGATAGTTTCAGACATCCTATGCAGTTCTATTATACCTATATTTAACTTCAAATTAACTTCCTCCTGATAATATTAACAATTTATCACACTAAGACTACAGAGAATTGCAACACAAGTTTCAACAATATCTACCGGATACCCATAATTCTTATCTGCACACCCACAGTGCAGAATTTCCTTCTGATAAACATATATAATATGATAGCAGATACTTGAGTAAGTTTGCCCTGAGATCACTTATATCCTATGCTCATACCGATGAAATTATAATACGCTTTACAGAACGATAGTTCTAATTCATTGTTTAAGAATGCTATAAATTATTCATAAATAGTTACAACCATTTAAAGTTTTTTTATAAGTTACATTCTTATTTAATCAAAAAAATACCTATAAATGTTTTTTAAGAAAGCTAAAAATGAAAATTTTAATAATAAACAATAATCAAAAATTTTAGTTAATACATCGTCATATGACAAAATTTTTACCCTATAAATTTTTTTTTTATGTATCAAATGGGTCATAAGCTATTAAAATTAGGTTACGAGACATAGTAAATCATATGATCTGAACATGAGTTTTAATAGCAAACCTCCCAGATGGTCTGCTAAGTCCGTAAATAATATAATATTCAATTATAATAAACAGCCACAAGAATTATGAGGATTGTAAAGAAAAATATCAAGCTATTGTATCAAATGACATCCTGAATAAG